AAGGGCACCTGAGTTTTACCTCCACCAGTAAAGCTGAAATATCGCCATATGACCTATAATGCGTCGGTGTGATGTAAAACCCAATTCCAAGTTGTTATCATTTAAGACAGTTAATAATTTATTTGTATGACGTTTATTTGTTGGTATGACAACTCTTAATTTTGTTTGCTTTCACCTACAAATATAACTGAAATAAACAGTTGTTGATTTGTGTTGTTTATAAATAAGGAAATTAATGAAATGTTATAGTAAATGCAATAAAATAAGCAATATTCTATCATTTATTGTCAAGCAAATAGAATCTGATAATGAAGGAAATGATATAGCATCAGTTTATCTAGACAATTTACTGCTTGAACAAGCTAAGAAATATAATGACATCTTGCAGGTAATAAAACAATGCTGCAATTTGATGATAAATGGATGATAGCCACTTAATTGCAGGCAATGTGAAATGTTTCCATGACAGTTGATCTTAGACATTGAAATCAGTTTGGGTTTTATAGTGGTCTGACACTTGCAGAGAAATTGGTTAATTACTGGTTAGTTATCCAGGAAAACACACAAAGTTGAGGTTCCTATGGTCAAGGTTACACGTAGCGGTAAAAGGTCAGATAAGAATATGAGAATCGACAGAACAGTTTTGTAGTTTTAATTAAAGGAAGTTCATCACAATCAAGAGACTAAGAACTATCAGAATTATTCAGGTCAACAAATGTAATGTCAAGGTCACCAGAAAGGGATGATTAATCTTAAAGATTACTTGACACAATTGTTTACTATCATTGGACAGAATATTGCAAATATAAACTAGGTTTCTATGTCAAAGGTCAAGGTCACACTTAAAGGTTACAAGAAACATTTCAGAGCAACATAAGGTGCATATTGGCAATTAATTTTATGAAATACGCAATTGATTTTTTAAGAATGCGTATCAAAACCCATTGAAAAAAATAAAATACGTAATTGTCTTAAAAAACCTGTGCGTATTGTCATTTTTATCACCGCAAAATTAATCTGTCAGATGCTCGTACTTTTGGACAAATTATATCTATATGCATGCTATCAGAATATTCACGAATCAATGTTAACTAATCAACGGTCTCCGATCTTCGACGGTCCCCGGACTCAAAAGACCGACTAAGCCATATCAATAAAGCATGAGACCTGTCGATTTGTCTACTCAGGTCGACGGTCTTTACAGACCGGCAGAGATCGTTGATTTTGCGGAAAACGTCAATAAGTAGGTCACAGCTATATCAATAGTCGCTTTGAAAGCAATATGGCGTCGTACAAAAGGGACAATGATTTGAAACAAAACAGTCGTAAATAATCAAAAGTCAGTCAGAAAACGAAATTGTTAAAAATATTATGAAATATAACATGAGCATTTTATATAAAAAATATAACAATTGTGAAAAGTTCTAATAAATTATTAATCCTATTTTCTTTTAAAACAGTTTAAATTTTATTGATAGAAACCATAAAATTCAAATCTTCATAATTGATTACCCAATTGATAGGGTATCGAGTTTTGGAATACCCAATTAAATGGAGCCTATACCCAATTCCAAAGGAAATGATGGAGTAATACCCAATTCACTTTTAAAGCTTATCTGTTGCTCTGCATTTGTCCATTATGAAATGAGGGATTTTTTATAGTATAACTTAGTTGGATAAATGTTCAATTTTGTCAAGCATAGTGTTGTATGCAAAAGCCAGGTCTTTGTTGCCAAGGTCATGGTCACATGAGGAGGTCCATTTATTATATCTGGGGGGAAAAATTGAATGTCTGTATTGAATATATAGTGATCATAAATTGAGGCATTCACTATTATGAGACTGAACATAAGTGCCTGTTGCACACTTATTATTTTTATCTTGAAATTTGAAAATTCTGTACGCTTTTGAATAGACTATAAGAAGTTCAAACTTGAAAAAAAAAACATTCATTTAATAAATTCAGCAAGTTTTGAAAGATATAAGCTTTTATATAAAAAAAATGTGCCCCAGCAAGTTTTCTGTCAAGTTCTTTATGTAGCATTCCCTTCTTTAGTAAAACTGTCCATTATCCTTGCATAGATTTTTAATAAAACATACTTAGGTATTCAGATCTTGTATTTTTGATGGTGCATTGTCAATCTGTTTGTCATTTATCAATTCTGTCTGCCTTAATGTTTGCCCATTCATTCCTTAACCCAGTCAGCCATCTATCTTTGTTGGCATCAATATTTGCAATCCTTTCATTTGTTGTTGGTGTTGGTCCAATTCTTTAGCTGACTTTATTAAGTAATTTACAAACAGCTGTCCTAATAACCCAGGTGGTGTACTTTCTAAATAAAAGTTCTTGTGCAGAGTAACATTATTATGTACTTTTTCTTCTTTAGAATTTCTAGGGATTTACAACTTTAAACTTTTGATATTTTCTCCTTAATTTTATAATTATGATTATATATTATTATTAATTATAAATTATTATCTATATATATATATATATATATATATATATATATATATATATATATATGCTATGTAATTATTATTGTTCATAGAAATTTGCAAAAAATGTTATGATCTGTGATCCCTTTAAGTAGCCTGTGGTGAAGCCTTAAATAGAAAATTGCATGATGATGACTTTTTCAGTTTTTTGTTTGTTTGTTTTTGTTTGTATTGTTTTATAATGCTGATTTAAACACATTTTGGTCATACCTCAGAGGCTTGTCTACTTAACAGACTTTTATGGAATACTATTCAGTAATTACCAATTTCTATGCAAGTAATGGACTAACTAATCCCACTAGAGAGACAAGTTAATATTAGTACCAATGTCCATGTGAATCAAAGCAGTGACCCCTGCATTACATATTCAATATTAATGAGCTAAGCTGGCAGACCTGTGTTTGTTTTACTTAAAAATCCAACTAGAAAAAAGTGATGATGATTAAATAAAACGCTTTATTCATAGGATGGGTATAGAGTTTCATGAGTTTTGAAGTTGATTTGATAGTAAAATCTGTAAATGGCAGAAATTTGGCTTCAAGGTCAATAAGATATTCATAGAACTCTTAAGAATGTTTATTTTCAAGTACAATGATATTATAAAGAGTTTGTTTATCATTAAGATGACAATGAAACACAGATTTTGAGTGTCTTTGGCAGGAATTAGGGTGTTTTCTAGGAAGGGTGTATTCTAGGAATTATGGTAATTTTACAGGAATTAAGGTAAATAGTTCAAAAAGATGCAAGTAGGTAAATTCCTGTCTGAAAAATCCATAAAAAGTAATGAATACTAAATGAATAGAATGAATAGTAGACATTTCATTTACAAATGTTGTGTATTTAATTAGGCTAGTCATATTTTCTGTCGGGACTTTGTCAGGAAAGTGTTTGATGAACCTTTTATACCGGTCAGACTGGGAAGATTAAGAAACTGTGTTGGCAATAAGGCTTGAAATTACCATGTTAAACCCTTACTTTAAATGAAGCAGCCTTCAGCAGCTATCATTTATTGGAAAAAACAATTTTCTGTTGTTTCAAACTAGGTATTTCAGTAACTTTATCCTAGAAAGTGAATCTTGTCACTGTTAAGCCTTCTCCAAAACCGCGTCCCAAGACCTTTTTATAATGCCTCAGTGACATTTCGTTTCAGAAATTAAAAGATCGGGGAACAAGTTGTCCATTTAACTAATTTAAATATAGAGAATGGACTGGTAGATTAGAGGTATCAAGGGGTTTCCTCATTGTTTATATATTTCATCATCAGCATATTTCATTTTCCACTTAAATTCTAATATAAAATGATTTATCTAAAAATAATATATTTAATCTTTAGAAAAGACGCTTTAAGTCATCTGAGTGTAGAGCCAGACCGGCATGCACATTGGCATCCTTGCCATCCAACAGGGCTCCATATTGTTGCCAGGCAAACTCTGACAGGACTCCATATTGTTACCTGTCAAACTCTGACAGGGCTCCATATTGTTGCCTGACAAACTCTGACAGGGCTCCATATTGTTGTCTGACAATCTCTGACAGGGCTCCATATTGTTGCCTGACAAACTCTGATAGGGCTCCATATTGTTATCTGACAATCTCTGACAGGGCTCCATATTGTTGCCTGACAAACTCTGACAGGGCTCCATATTGTTGCCTGACAATCTCTGACAGGGCTCCATATTGTTGTCTGACAATCTCTGACAGGTCTCCATATTGTTGCCTGACAAACTCTGACAGGGCTCCATATTGTTGCCTGACAATCTCTGACAGGTCTCCATATTGTTGTCTGACAATCTCTGATAGGGCTCCATATTGTTGCCTGACAAACTCTGACAGGGCTCCATATTGTTGCCTGACAAACTCTGACAGGGCTCCATTTTGTTGCCTGACAATCTCTGACAGGTCTCCATATTGTTGCCTGACAATCTCTGACAGGGCTCAATATTGTTGCCTGACAAACTCTGACAGGGCTCAATATTGTTGCCTGACAAACTCTGACAGGGCTCCATATTGTTGCCTGACAAACTCTGACAGGGGATCCATATTGTTGCCTGACAAACTCTGACAGGGATCCATATTGTTGCCTGACAAACTCTGACAGGGCTCCATATTGTTGCCTGACAAACTCTGACAGGGCTCGTTATTGTTGTCTGACAAACTCTGACAGGGCTCGTTATTGTTGTCTGACAATCTCTGACAGGTCTCCATATTGTTGCCTGACAAACTCTGACAGGTCTCCATATTGTTGTCTGACAATCTCTGATAGGGCTCCATATTGTTGCCTGACAAACTCTGACAGGGCTCAACATTGTTGCCTGACAAACTCTGATAGGGCTCCATATTGTTGCCTGACAAAACTCTGACAGGTCTCCATATTGTTGCCTGACAAACTCTGACAGGGATCCATATTGTTGCCTGACAAACTCTGACAGGGATCCATATTGTTGCCTGACAAACTCTGACAGGGCTCCATATTGTTGCCTGACAAACTCTGACAGGGCTCGTTATTGTTGTCTGACAATCTCTGACAGGTCTCCATATTGTTGCCTGACAAACTCTGACAGGTCTCCATATTGTTGTCTGACAATCTCTGATAGGGCTCCATATTGTTGCCTGACAAACTCTGACAGGGCTCCATATTGTTGCCTGACAAACTCTGATAGGGCTCCATATTGTTGCCTGACAAACTCTGACAGGTCTCCATATTGTTGCCTGACAAACTCTGACAGGGCTCCATATTGTTGCCTGACAAACTCTGACAGGGCTCCATATTGTTGCCTGACAAACTCTGACAGGGCTCCATATTGTTGCCTGACAAACTCTGACAGGTCTCCATATTGTTGCCTGACAAACTCTGACAGGGCTCCATATTGTTGCCTGACAAACTCTGACAGGGCTCCATTTTGTTGCCTGACAAACTTGAAACACCTATCAAACATCCTGTATAGTTCTATACTAGCATATTTAAGGCAATTCAGCAAAAATAATATTATAAAGCTAGAGCAGATATTGTATTGGTTTTGTACATCAGCAAACAGTATTGTCCTCTCTAATAGCAATTGATAGACATTATTATTGTCTAACTGAAAGAGTAGTGAAAAAGGTATTAAAGAGGAAATTTATCAGACTGAAAAATCCAATAGTGAAAAACAACAATGAAAATAAGGTAAAATTTAATCCAGTACGAAATTGAATTACAGCATTTTGAAATAAATGGGTATACATGATCACTATAAGTTACTGTTAAATGTGCAAATTCCATGTCATCAAGGTCATTGCATGGTATTGAACTTTGTATATTTGTCATATAGTCATCAAATAAATGCAACTGTAGCTCATATCCGTTCAGTTACTGCCACAAAACATATTGGTAGCCAAGTGAATGATGTGTTGCATGCAAGAGCCATGATTGGCTGCACCTCCAAGGTCAAGGCTCTATTTGGAAGTCAAAGATTAAATCTTGTCCACATTATATTTCTGTCTTTACTTAATGGATGTCAAAATATTTAGCATAGGCCTTCACCAGAGCCAGCAAATGGGTTAAACACAACTTCAAGGTCAAGGCCATATATTGTGGTCAAAGTTTAATTTGTCTCTTGCTTTTAACTTTCTCATTACTTGATGGATTGTTCAAGTATTTGGGAAATGGTTTCACCACAGTCAGATGATATGTTGCGCATGAACTTGTCCACACCTTTAAGGTCAAGGTTGCATTTGGAGGTCAAAGGTCAAATTATTTGTGTCAACTTTTTCTCTTTGGCTTTTAAATTATTGTTTATTGATTGTCAAAATATTCAGCAGGTGTCTTCTTTCCTCACAGGGTAAATCTGCACAAAGTGTTTTCCCTCACTCACAGTGTATGCATGTAAATAATAATATGTGTGTCCACCTTATTGCTTTGTATGGTTGCAAAGAAGCAGAGTCTTATATGATTTCAAATAAAATGCATGATTTACTGTGGACTGAAACAATTTTATTTTGGGTGTGGTCAATAAAAATAAAAGTACATGATTACATACATCAGATTTACACTTTGGTCCCTAATTTAGATTTTTTTTGCTTAAATGTTGCAAAACAATTTATTTATATTTTCTTCAAATGGAAAGACAATATTTGCTGATCTCAAGACAAAAATTAAATCATGTATAAACACTTTGTCTCCATCTGAATAAGAACTGTTTTACATTGGACAAAACACATAGATTTAAGAGCTGTTGCATTGCATTGTCATAAAACATTTGAATTTTTCAATCTATTCATTTGTTTACCTGTCGAAACTAGAAAACATGTTTGTTTTGAAAAAAATCAAATATATAAATTATATCTTTTTTAAGTTTTGTATTTTTTCTTCTGAAATGATTGGGATAGTCCTGTACAGACATTTTTCTGTCCAATAGCCACCTTTGATATCACACAAGGGTGTTTTTATTTTGGGTAGATTTGGTAATGGGTCTGATGCCTTTAATGTCTCCAGCTTGATTGTTGATCCTGTGCTTATTAAAAGTTTATATATCATTTAATCTGGATATAATTAATTAATGGCCAAGGCATTACTATAAACCTTCAGGAACGTGTCAGTACGGTGTTTATATAAATAAGACTTGTAGTGTCAGATTCCTGGCACAATTATTGGTGACCTTTTCTACAGGAATTGAATTAAATAGAGAAATTAAGAATCCTTAAAGAAAGACCAACACGACAAAATTGAAAATGTTGCAGGCTCGTTTTGGTTGAGCCTGTTCATGGACGGTATTGTCAAGTGCAAACCTTGCTTGTTATTACCTTATAGATTTTCGGAATTATTTCAGGATATGTGTTCATCACAGTCAGCTGATGTTTTGTGGACAAGACCAACTCTTCAAAGGTCTTAGTTGCACTTTGGGTTGACTTTCCTTTCTGACTTTTTTTTTCTCAATGATGAACTATAAAAACGTTTAGCAGATGTCTTCCCTGGACTAAGCCAGGTGCAGCACCCATGTCAAGTTTGCATTTGGAGGTAAGATGTAATATGGCGGGAGTATTATAAGGTGCCATATGGATACATTATATCTTGTTAAATTCTAAAATGGCCCACTTTTTTAAGTCGGGAATTTCAACTTTTGTTTTGCTTGTAATTTTGTGGCAATGAAAATCCAGTTAGGACAAATAAAGATAATAATAAAGCAACTTAATGTAAGTCTCTTAAGCTGTCCAAGATGTATGAATGCTACATCCGGAAAAAAAAAATAATTTTTACTTCTGTCTTTTACAACTCTTTTAACTTGTATTTCGACAGATAGTGAAATTTCAAAGGACAGACAATTAAAAGTTATTTTATAGATAATTTTTGACAGGCAGTTAATCAATGGTGGTAAAAAGACATATTGTCAGGCCAATAGAGAAAACTTCTTCATACCTGTTTCCGTACCAAATCACTTAGCAGCAGTTTATTGTCTATTTAACTTGTTCAAAGTGGAGTTTGTGTGCTGATTATTGCATGCTGTCGTGAAATAAACAAGCAAGTCATGAAAACAGGTTTTTTTTCTTTCAAGGAAACATTGATTTTATTATATTTTTAGCCATGGAACTGCCTGTCAAGATTAAAGTCTTTACTTTGAGTCACGTAGGTCCAACAAACTAAGGACACGATTATTGACTTGTGCTTGACCTTGACTAACCCGCCTTCCATATATGTTTATTCAAATAAAAAATAATGCTGACAATGCGTCAGGAATAAATTGTGCCATATTAAAGACAATGCGCAATCATGTCTTGTGTTTTTCTTTGACTTGATGACTAAGTGGTTGTTTTGATATGACAGTTTGATATATTGAAGAACACTTTGAATCTTCTCAAGGCTCTGTTGATTTATATTGTTTTGATTTTTAGTTTTGTTTCAAATTGTTGCACGCACACACACTGGCTCAGATGTTGAAGTTGTACACAGTGTAGATACAGTTATACACAGTGTTGTAACAGTTGTACACTTTATTTATTCAATTATACACATTGTTGATTAAGTTGTACACATTGTTGATTAAGTTGTACACATTGTTGATTCAGTTGTACACATTGTTGATTAATTTGTACACATTGTTGATTCAGTTGTACATATTGTTGATTCAGTTGTACACATTGTTGATTCAGTTGTACACATTGTTGATTAAGTTGTACACATTGTTGATTCAGTTGTACACATTGTTGTAACATGTTTATTCAGTTGTACACATTGTTGTTCATTGTTGATTTGATTGTGCACAGCTGATAAGCTGTACACAGTGTTGTTGGTTGATCAGTATTGATACAGTTTTACACAGAAGTTACACAGTTGTACACAGTATTGATACAGTTGTACACAGTGTTGTAACAGTTGTACACTGTGTTGATTCAGTTATACACATTGTTGATACCGTTGTACAAAGTGTTGATATGGTTGTTCACATTTTTAGCTCTACTATTCGATAAGAATAAGTAGAGCTATTGCAGTCATCCGAGCGTCGGCGTCGGCGTCGGCGTAACCACTTATGTTAAAGTTTTTGTAATAGTTCAAATATTTTCAAAGTCCATAGACATATGGCTTTGAAACTTTGCACACTTGTTCACCATCATGACCCCAACCTGTAGACAGGAGGAGGTAACTCTATCAAGCATTTTGACAGAATTATGCCCCTTTTTCGACTTAGAATTTACGTTAAAGTTTTTGTAATAGTTCAAATATTTTCAAAGTCCATTGACATATGGCTTTAAAACTTTGCACACTTGTTCACCATCATGACCCCAACCTGTAGACAAGAGGAGGTAACTGTATCAAGCATTTTGACAGAATTATGCCCCTTTTTCGACTTAGAATTTACGTTAAAGTTTTTGTAATAGTTCAAATATTTTCAAAGTCCATTGACATATGGCTTTGAAACTTTGCACACTTGTTCAACATCATGACCCCAACCTGTAAACAGGAGGAGGTAACTCTATCAAGCATTTTGACAGAATTATGCCCCTTTTTCGACTTAGAATTTACGTTAAAGTTTTTTGTAATAGTTCAAATATTTTCAAAGTCCATTGACATATGGCTTTGAAACTTTGCACACTTGTTCAACATCATGACCCCAACCTGTAAACAGGAGGAGGTAACTCTATCAAGCATTTTGACAGAATTATGCCCCTTTTTCGACTTAGAATTTACGTTAAAGTTTTTGTAATAGTTCAAATATTTTCAAAGTCCATTGACATATGGCTTTGAAACTTTGCACACTTGTTCACCATCATGACCCCAACCTGTAAACAGGAGGAGGTAACTGTATCAAGCATTTTGCCAGAATTATGCCCCTTTTTCGACTTAGAATTTACGTTAAAGTTTTTGTAATAGTTCAAATATTTTCAAAGTCCATTGACATATGGCTTTGAAACTTTGCACACTTGTTCAACATCATGACCCCAACCTGTAAACAGGAGGAGGTAACTCTATCAAGCATTTTGACAGAATTATGCCCCTTTTTCGACTTAGAATTTACGTTAAAGTTTTTGTAATAGTTCAAATATTTTCAAAGTCTATTGACATATGGCTTTGAAACTTTGCACACTTGTTCAACATCATGACCCCAACCTGTAAACAGGAGGAGGTAACTGTATCAAGCATTTTGACAGAATTATGCCCCTTTTTCGACTTAGAATTTACGTTAAAGTTTTTGTAATAGTTCAAATATTTTCAAAGTCCATTAACATATGGCTTTGAAACTTTGCACACTTGTTCAACATCATGACCCCAACCTGTAAACAGGAGGAGGTAACTCTATCAAGCATTTTGACAGAATTATGCCCCTTTTTCGACTTAGAATTTACGTTTAAGTTTTTGTAATAGTTCAAATATTTTCAAAGTCCATTGACATATGGCTTTGAAACTTTGCACACTTGTTTACCATCATGACCCCAACCTGTAAACAGGAGGAGGTAACTGTATCAA